TTCTGAACAGGGGCAAAGACATTAAAACTGACACCCTTTCCTAGGATATCCAAAGCTATAAAATATATTTTTGTGGTTGGAGCTACATTTAAAAAATATACATGTTCTGACTTATGTACAAATTCAATTTAAGAACAAATCTACAGAACCTATCTTGTTCATAACTTGTATACCTATTGAGAGAAATGCATGTATAAGGATCTCATCAAGAGTAAGGCTTGAAGTCAAGTTCAACATTACTTTAAAAATAGAGGCAGAAGACCTGCCCCCTCTTTTTTCCAAAAGGAAACATGAGTTACCCAGAGGAGATTGGGATTGTATCATGGGTGATTCAAGTTTCTGGCATATGCAATAGAAATTCCTTTCATGTGGGGAGTAAGAGGGTTAAGGGATCTATTGTTGGTGATGCAAAGTGCAACTCTGATCATGGATCATGGATTATACCATCAGAAAAGAATTCCATTCAAATTAATTATTGGGGGGGGGCTGTGAGTTTTAAAGGCTATTTTAATTGTATTTATTATATTTTAATCATTTTTTACTATACTGTACTATTTGTTTTCTTAAATTTTGTATTACGCCTTTTAAATTATGTCTAAAGTATGGAATTGTTAGCTACCTTGAGTCCCCACAGGGAGAAAGGTAGGGTATAACTAAAGTTAATAATAAAAATAGTACAGTAGAGTCTCACTTATCCAACCTTTGCTCATCCAAAGTTCTGTATTATCCAACGTAGTGTGCCTCCCACCTGGATCTACAGCTGTTTCAATACATTGCAATGTTTTCATGCTAAATTTGTAAATACAGTAATTACTACATAATGTTACTGTGTATTGAACTACTTATTCTGTTGATTAGTTGTAAAACACGATGTTTTGGTGCTTAATTTATAAAATCATAATCACTTATGTTGGATAAGTAAGACATGTTGAATTGTTTCAAAATAGGTTGCTTTTATTATCTGTATCCTGACCCATTCTTGATCCTTGAGGATATCTAAATTTAGAAATAATGCTCTCTCTCTTCATGCTTAGTTTGTCTAGGAAAAAGCTTCTAATGAAGCAAACACCAACCTGACAATTACTTCTTTAACAGAAAATTTGATATCAAAGTGGAAGAAACATGGAAAGGATACGGACTAGTTTCTACACTCCAAAAATGAGCAAATTTAGCAAAATTTAATTCAAGAGTAACAACGTGCACATCTGAAGAAAAACAAGAAAACCTTGGCATTAATTAAAAAAGAAAGAATTTGACCTTTTTCAAAACCATTTAAAGGCTTCTTGCCTGTAATGCCTTTTACTTTCAACAGTCTCCAAAATAACTTAAATTTTATTAGGCTGCTAAAAAAAAGTCATCACAAAATGATTCCATTTTGGTAACTAAACAAATACACCTGTGTTTAACATCCTGGGGGAGCTTTGAGGCAGGCTTGTCTGCTTTCCCCTTTTGTCATTGGTTTGCTATTCATACATGTTCAGTAAAGGATTCTGGAGTCAGCTGCTGTTCCCTTTCCTGCTGTAAGCTAGCACTCACAGACAGAGGAAAATTCATTATTTCTTGGCAATAAAAGTTCAAACTTTTATTGCAATATTTACTGCAGATGCTGCAGGCTTCTTATATTATTCTACAATGGTAAGTTTGGTTGTGATACCTAGTGAACCTTAATTATTTATTATATCATTAAACCTGAATATTACTTACAAATTGAATATAGCTCTGATTTGTCCCTGGTTATTTTGCTGAAATTAAAAGTTCCCTCTTTTCATTTCAGCAAAAAGGAAGTATTAATATTTGGGGATCTATTGCTTTAACAGCGGCCTGTCAAATGTGGTTGGATATAATTTGATTATAAGCCATGCTAATAAAATGACCTAATAATTCTGAAATATTTTAGGTGTTTTGCTAGTCCATGACCCGACACTGTACAACAACCTTGAAAGAACAATACAGTCACGAGAGTAATCATGAAACCATTTTCAGTAGTTATTTTAAAAAGTAACACCTGACACTTCTGTGTGCAAATCTTCTGAGTTTGAATGTCTAATGTCATCACCAAAAGGCCCACTCACTAATGAAGACCGACCTGTCAAAACTGAGCAGAAGCAGCCATGGTATACCTCTAATTAGTTTGACTGATTGTATGCTTGGTTAGTAGTCTAAGGAAACTCAAATTTCCTGAAGGGATGCAGACAATCAAAACCTTACATTTCAGCTTGTCTGCTGGAGCAATACTATAACTATCTATATTAAATATTTTATATATGACAACTTAGTTTATACATGACCAAACTGGCACATTGTGGTACAAATACAATGGAGATGAAGCACTTAATTAGAATGTTATTTTGTGTTTCTTAAATTTGAATTAAAATTGCTCTTAAGGTCAATATGTTATTCATGAGAGCCTTGGAAACCATTTTGAGGAAATGTATATATTGTCAGATTAATGTGAAATTCAGTAAATAATGATGACAAAACTTTCTAGTGTATTTTAGAGATAAAATTTAAAAGTTACAGGAAATAGTTACTCATTGCACCAACAAAGTAATTTCATCCCATCCATTACAACAATTATCCTAATGTATAAGTTGATCTCATGTATAAATAGAGTACTGGTTCTCAACCTGTGGGTCCCCAGGTCTTTTCAACTACAACTCCCAGAAATCAAGGTCAGTTTACTAACTGTTAGGATTTCTGGGAGTCGATGGCCAAAACATCTGGGGGACCACGAGTTGAGAACCACTGAAATAGAGGGTACATTTCAGGGCCAAAATTATGAATTTTGGTTTAAGCCATGACTAAGTTGAGAATCATTATGAGGAGAATTGCCACCATTTCCCCACACAGGCATTCAAAAAGAACTTTCTCCACTTTATTCAGAGAAGGGGATATTCGTTCCGTACTAAAAGTTAAGACACAGTATTATCTTTTTATATATATATTATTTTTAAAAAAACAAAAAAGAACCATGGCTTTCTCTAAGAAGAGTGGCAAAAGTTTAGTCCATCCCAGGAGAACCTGAAAGAAGCATCAACACCTCTACTCTTTTGGCACGCCTTTGTGGGGAATTGTCAAAGAGCAATCATTCCCCCACCAGGCAAACAAAATGGCCAAAAGCAGTGCCAATGACAGAGACAGTAGAGGACAATGGTGTTTTTAAAGATCTTCCTGGCATGGACAAAGCCTCACATTTTTCCACACTTCTCAGAGAATAGGATTTTTCCTTTTTTATGATAAGAGTTAAGGTACAATACTTATATTGACCCATGGATAAACTGATGGGGTTTGGGATCAGGTTTTTAAACTAATTTTTTTTTAGACTTATACACAAGCATATACAATTAGTACACTCTTACCAAAAACGAACTCATTATTTTCAAGTAGAAGTGTGAAATTTGGCCAAAAAGAATGCCATTTTGTGGTCCATTGTTGGCTGACCCCTCATTCAGTTTACCGGTAAGTTACTTGAATCAAGAAAAGTGTTGCTGTTTTCATTCGGCAAAGATTCGGAGCATTAGTTACAATGGGAAATTTTAAAGGCTCAATCCTCAGTCATTTTAAGGCCTATCTGCATAAAACCTAACTCAGTTTTAGATCCTATTTGCAACTGCAGGCCTGCCAAGTTTCAAAACAATTCACCAATCTACTGATTTTTAGAATTATTTTAAGTTTTAACCATAAGATTTTTTTAAAAATAAGACAAACTACAGGAGAAGGTTCTGGAAATTGTAGTTGCCAGTTGTGTCCATTCTCAGCCAATCAGAGCATGGACACAACCAGGCTTTTTATTGGCTGAGAAACACACACAGAGAGAAACTTCAACTCCCATCATGCACCAAAAGGAACTCAGAGACATTTCAATGCTCTTCCCATGCAAGTTCTGCTGGGAAAGCCAATTCCCAGCAGAGCCCTCCCTGGAGGAAGAGCCTAGGAAACTTTCCAAAAAGAAATGGTCAGATGCTGCTGCTGCTGCCGGGAACACTGCAATAATCCCATCTTCTCCAGGAGCCCCATTGAAGCCCCTGCCTCAGGTATATTGCAGATTTAGCTCTCTCCTCTCCAGTAGCCGATAAAATCTGGCTCTCTCAATCCATTTTGCTGGACTTTTTGACTCCCTCCTCTCTGTTCTGTTTTCGGAGATTATATGAAGTGGACCACTGAATATTACAAGCCATTTTTGTTCAAACTGATTTGGGCCCAAGCCTACTCCCAAGCTCTGTGACTAGGCAGGTTTTGGCTGATCTAGAAGGGTGGTTCTAATGTCAACACACAAAGAACATGAAACCAATGACAAATGACAGTGTTGCTCATGGTGGTGAATAAAGTTTGTGGAGGTACAACTGGAAGGCTCATCATAGCTAGGAGGGACACTTCATTACCAGCTTCAACTATTGTCAAGAAAATGCAGCACTGACATGAAGACACTCCATGACTGACTAATTCGTTTGATATACATTGGGCCTAAATAGAGAACTATAACATGACAGCATTAGAGTCCTTGTGGAGAAATGTAATAGCTGAATCACACAGGAATACATTTGTTATGCTAATGTTTTTGGAAGGTTACAAATTGAAGCACGTTTTAGAAGGACACCACGGACAGAACTATAACCCCAGGGCATGAAAATATACTTAACTAGTAACACAAGAGACATATTTTGCTGTTCCAATATTGAATTCTTGGAAATACTGAGTCTGCCTCATGAATTGATGGATATACTTTTTTTCTTATTCATTGCAGTGATGTGCAGAGGCATTCATCTTGGCTAAAAGCAAGGTTTGCTCACAGGGAACTACAGACTGACACAGAATGTTTCACTGAACAGCTATTTTAATAAGGTGGCAAGGCAAATGTTACATTCATGTTATTACAAAGCTTTTAACCACCAAACTTGGAAATTCTGTAGCACTATGGGAGGCAACAACAGAAAAACAGACAGGAAATACAAATATTTCACAATTCAGATTTTGCAAGAACATTTTGATATAAAAAGTACCTGGGAATGTTTTGAGACCCAATGGCGAAGGACATTCAGGACACGATTTGTGGCTGCTCGGCGTATGATAAACTCCTTATCACATGTTCTTTCAGAGTTATTAAATCCTACAAAATTGAAAAGACAGATCATGGTGAAAGAAATGCAACAAGAGGAGTGGGTTGGGGGAATCTAAGGAAAACACCCATGGAAAACACATCAGTGGATTAAAATTTTCCTTTAATTCTAACATATTATAAAGATTTTGCAGATTTTGCTACAGCAATGGTTCCCAACCTGTGGTCTGTGGACCACCACTGGTACAGAAGAACAAAAATATGCTCCACGGCCTCACCATTACTACATTGTTGCCTTGAAACCACACAACAACAAGAGCGACTGGTCTCGTGAAACCCTCTTATAGAGCTGAGGCAACAGGGATGTCGGGAGGGTATGGCTGAATACCCATGAAATATTACTACTACCACATCAGCTCTAGATTATTAAATAAGGCTTTCTGTGGGTAAGCAGATGGTGACTATTGGATAGCATATGTTCTGTATCAGAAACTAGAGCTGATGTGGTCTATCCAATGTAATTATCTGAATCAGCACCACAAATAACCAAACTGAATCTAAAGTTGACCAAAAACAGATTTGCAACCCTTTTGGTACTAATGTTGGAGAGGGATCCCTGGTCAAAGTGGTCCCTGGTTAAAAAAAGGTTGGGAATCACTGTGCTATGGTATTTATATTAAATTGTATATCAAAGAGTAGAGAAAGATTTGAACAGCTAACTGCTCAAACCTTTCCCCATGCACATATATGATATCTCAGTTTCCTCAGATTGTGAATATGTCTAGAAAGAGGCATTTAGTGATACCAAAATGATTGCAAATAAAAATAATTGTGCAGTGTATCATCAAAACTATATTTTTAAAAAACATCTTTGTAATTAGATAAAACATTTTTGTAAGCCAAGTTTACATGTACTGTATCAACAACCGACAGGATTAAAACTCTATGCTAATTTTGGAACCTTCTAATGAGCATGTGTTCTGATGTAAGTTGTCATTATTGCCCAATTGCAATGATGCTTCAAACTATGTGGTTTCACCTGTATGCATTACAACAAGTGTGTGTGTGTGTAGGTGGGGGGTTGCTGCTGAATTTTTTCCAAAAAGAATAATGTTTTAGAAATACAGAAAACAGCAAATATTCAAGGTGATAACCTCAGAACTACACTAATTAATAAGTGCTGTTTTACTAAATAGAATGACATGTATTTGGGGAAAACACATTTTGAATTCATAGAGGTGGTGATGTGTTGTCTGGCTTACAAATGGATCTTGGAGTCACAACAGGAAAAAAGCACTGAATACAGCAACTCACTATGTTCTAGCTGTAGGCAAATTTGAAAAGGAAAGGAGCAGAAAATAAAACAACAATGTTGTTACATAAGTCTACTGTGAGCCTACATTTAGAATACTGTTAATACATTTTATTGTACTGTCTCAAGGGGAGATATTGTAGATCTGGAAAAGGCAAATATAACAACTTATATAGTAATGGAATGAGGGAGAAAATGCCAGTAAAGAGAGTTTTCAACTTAGAAACAGAGAACTACATGGAATGCAATGCATATTGATCAATACATATAAACGTGTGGAAAGAAACACTACATAGGAAATATCCCTTTCAAACAGTTAATTTCAGAGTAATCCAGTGAAACTGGTTGATAATGCTTAAGGACAAAGAAAATGCATTTATTCACTTCATCAGCCATAGCACAGCACCTGATGAACCAATCTGGACATAGCCTATTATTTGAGAACACAGAAATGCTCGACCACTCTATGTCAGGCTACACAGAGAAGCCATTGAAATCCACAAGCATGTAGACAAATTTCAACAGAAAGGGAGAAACCATGAAAATGAACAAAATCTGGCTACCAGTAAATAAATAGCAACACTTAAACACAGGGAAACACCAGACAAGAAATAATCAGGGGCAGCTAATCACCCCTCAACAAAGGATTCACCCAGCAGTAAGAAGCCAGACCTAAAAACTGTTAGGCCATTAAATTCTAATCAAGGTGGCCTAATGAAATATTCATACTTAGCTCCAACACCCTGGACAGACCACAGATACATAAACCCAATTTTCCTAGTTTCCAACAGATCTCACAATCTCTGAGGATGCCTGCCACAGATACAGGCAAAACGTCAGGAGAGAATGCTTCTTGAACATGGCCTTACAGCCCAAAAAACCTACAACTCAGTGATTCTGGCCATGAAAGCCTTCGACAAAACCTGGAAGATAATTCTTTACAGAATAGCAAACAACTGTAGTTCTGGGTTTTTTTAAAAAATCACCACCACTTTGTCTGTCTTTTGAATACAGGAAAAGTATCCGTTGATTCATAAAAATAAATACAGCAGTTTCCCAACACTGTGACCAAAACCCTGCATTGTCAGACACGACAATGATGAGGGAGCTCCATCATAATAGCCATGGTTGATGATGAGCCCCAACTGAAAGGAATCTAGAAAGACCTCTCAATCTCCTGGAACAACCACTTCTCTCAATGTGCCCCACAATTTGGAGAATGCTGAAGAAGCCACTTCCCAGCACTCCGATTTGCAGCCCCACATAAATTCTTTGATTGGGGTCAAGGGGGTCAAAGCCAACACGGTTTTTGAACACTGTGTTTTGAGCACCTTTTGGACCAACATACCGTAAGAGCACTCGCCCTCTCAATACCCACTGAAAACAGCTCTCAAAGGCTTTACACAAGAGGGTAATGAGCCTTACCACTGGGCTGCTACTTCCTATTTCAGTCTGTTCACTTTTCCGATTAGGAAAACTGATCAGAATGTTAGTTCTGTGTTTTAATTTGCAGTGATTTCTCCTTCTTCTCCAAATACGTCATATGACATACATGGCATCTTGCTTGGCCTATATTTTATTTTTAAACCAATTTTAATCACAAAAGATTTAATTTTTCTTAATATTGATTTCTTATAATATAGAAAACATGTTTATGGACATAACTATTTCTCTGATGGTGCTCATTTATAAAGAAAACATTTACTTAATTCATTAAAGAATGCTTTCATGAGCTTTCTTTTGCATGTAATGGCTTTTCCATTTTTGTTGCACTCAATGTAGCACCTACACAATTAGTTCTCATTATTACAGGAACTGCAAATAGCACTCAGACAATTAGTTGCTGTTATTGCAAAGAAATCTGACTATCTTACTGACATTAGATTTACCTTAACCCTAAAATCACTTGTGAATTAAGGATCGACATGGGTGCGTCATACAGCTCTGTGGGAGTACCTTTTTATATTACTAATATAAAAAAAAACGTGATATATATTTCTTCCTGGACTTTCAAACTTTGAATTTTACAATTTATGCATCTGTCCTTCCATTTCCCTCAAGAATCATACTGCTCATACATTTTGGACTTTTCCATCTCTTCTGACTTTCCATCTCTCTGTGCTTAAACCCTGAAACATGGATCAACACAACACAGAAAATCAGGTGACTTAGGTCTTAACGAGAGGATTGATCCAATCAAGTCTCCTACAAATTAGATTCAAGTGTGCTTAGGAAGAAACTAGGCCACTCTGTGTGAAATATGACCTATTTCAGTACAATTATGGGTTATGGAAACAGAATATAAACAAAAATGACACCCCTCCAGGTTGCTACAGACATCCCCATGAGAGATATATCGAAAGATGCTTGCATTTTTCTTGATGTGGATCAAGAACGCAAGATGGTCCATTTAGCTGTAGCTCTTTTATGGGTTTGCCCAACTCATCTAGAAGCTGCTAGCAAAAGAAGGGAAGCTGTTATAGTGACTAACTCACAACTACATTTTCAGGAGAATGTGGGAAAGTGAACAAAAGCTAATTACTATCCTAACAAGAGTGTATGGACTATGTTATCTCTGGAATGAAGTCAGTAGGTTGAAGTATTCAATGTGGCTTTAGCTGTTCACAGCTGTGCTCTGACAACCTAATCTACACTCTGCTAAATGCAGAAATAAGCTTCCCTGATTTCTACAATAGCTTGTGACATGGCCTTTGCAAATAATCCATGGAACTATCCCTGTTACAAAATCTTACAAGTAAATTGACTGTGCATCTTTGATGCTGCCTTCTCATTTTCAGACAGAAATCATTACACTGCATAACAATATATGAGAAACAAGACAAAGACCTCCATCTGTCTATAATCAAATATGTTTAGCTTCCAGAGTGCCAGTAAAAATGTAGATTGCCACACATTTGTGCATTCCCAACTTGGAAAGTTGTGCTAAAGGAGCAGACCAGATCTTCTCATCTTCTTTGCTGCTTCCTTCATGGGGAGAACAGTTGAATGTTTATAAAATGAAACATCCATTATGGAGAACAACGAAACCCTGAAAAGTCAGAGCATTTTGATAGTATGGAGACACTTCACATGTGGAAACACTTCACGTGTCCTTGTTCTTTCCATACAAAGGTGATGGTGAAGAAGGAGAATGATCTAGTCTTTCCCCTCCACTCATGCTTTCAGATAAACTCTCTGCTGGCCACATGAATGAACCCTATCCTATTCATAAGAATCTTTTTTCCAAGAAGGTGAAGGGAGAAAGGGATTGAAGGGCAATGAGTGTCACTGATGATGTCAAAGCTCCCACAAGAGCAAAGCATTATGGAACATCCACATCTTTGAAGATTTACATTTCTAATTAGGATCTTATTTTCTTTATTAAAATAGAGGGAAATGGACAAAAGGAATGGGAAATATTGGCTGATTAATACCATCTGGAAACACCATGGAAATTCCTGTAATGAACCATGCCCAATGCTTATTAAAAGGTCCATCTGGAAGCATCCCAAGAGAGTCTTTATGAAAGAAAGTGGTTTTAATATGGAGATTATCCACTCAACTGAACTGTAGATACAGTGTGAGCAAGCACAACTTCATTGGACTCTGATCCGTTTTAGCATTTTCATATTCTCAGGAGAAGAAGGCAGTTTTTCAAAACCCTGGGATGAGTTAGGTGGAAATACTATAAAATGTTCCAGTTTGTACCCTCAATCATTTCCAAGTTAGACTCATGCTATCTTTCTACAGCCTATCCATCTTTAATATGAATTATGATTTGTGTGACTACTTAAATCTAGTTTACCCCTACTGGAATGGGTAGAATGTAGCCTGTGGATTACAAGGGACTCCAAGGCTATTACTGAGTTATTTGGAGTGCCTGAGATCCCCCCCCCCCACCTCCAAAAAAGTATGCATTCTTCCATATTTTTTGAACACCCTCCCAGACTTGCAAGTTAATATCCATCTTACTTCTTTGTTAGAAAAAGGGCTCTCCTGGCTGTAAAACAGCTCAAAAGAAATCTAGGTAGCAAAAAAAAAAAGTCCTCAAATAGTTTTGAAATGGTGATGGGATGCAGTGGGTGGGGCAGTCTCCTCAACATCCCCCCCCCAGGGGGAAATATGATTCACAATCCTTAACTTCACTTCAATGTAGATGAACACATAAGGGTGGCTGACATTAAGTCATACCACTGAGTCATCTATGATGATGATGATGATGATGATGATGATGATGATGATGATGATGATGATGCTTTATTTGTATTCAGCCCTATCTCCCCAAGGGGACTCAGGATGGATTCCAGCATACACAAACACAAAGGCAAACATAAAGTGCCTAGAAACAACAAAACACAGATAAAGGTAAAGGTTTCCTCTTCTGGCTCTGAGGGGTGTTGCTCATCTCCATTTTTAAGCCAAATAGCCTGCGTTGTCTGTAGACACCTCCGAGGTCATGTGGCCATCATGACTGCATGGAGTGCCATTTACCTTCCCACCGAGGCAGTACCTATTGATCTACTCACATTTGAATGTTTTCAAACTGCTAGGTTGGCAGAAGCTGAGGCTAACAGCGGGAGCTCACCCTGTTCCACGGATTTGAACTGCCCGTCTTCCGGTCAGCAAGTTCAGCGGCTCAGCGGTTTAACCTGCTGCACCACTGCAGCCCCTAGTGTGGCCTCCTGTTTGCTATTAGCAATGGATTTTGAAGGTCTCTAACACAACTTCTTCCCATTACCTATTACCTGGATTTTAACTAGAAGTACTATTAATAAATCCTGGGATTTCTACATGCAAATCCTGTGATATGCTCTTGAGCTGCTACTCTTCCCTGATGGTGGCTGGTGACTCCTATGTCATTTGAGATCCAGATTAGTCTTGTCTTGAAAGGTTAAATGTATTTGGTTAATAGTTCTCAGCACCTTGGAGAGTTCCTTCAAAATTTGAGCCCTCCTCTCACTGGGCAAGAATCACCAGCTATCATAACCATATACCAAAATAGTTCATTTTTAGGGTAACATCACCTTTCACTTTCTCTGATGATTTCAAACTTTAATGCAGGATTATTGCTTAATAAAAAGCTGCACCATTTGAGTTGCCTCAGTTAGAAGGAGAACACTTGCCCAACCAGTTGACAGAATTGCTAAGCAACAGTTATCTAGATTCAAAACAGCTCCTGCTTCTTGAACAAAAATAGAAAGCTATTCAAATTCATCACAGTGTTTGTTCATGATACAAGAAAAGAGCTTAATGTTTATCAGTGTAAAATTCGAAGACATTTTGGAAAGAATTAACTATCTGTTCATTATTATTATCATATGATCAATAAAATACTTTACTCTTTAGAGTAAGTGCGACAAACATATACATTTCACACAAAATGTCAATAGGGAGGAAATGCCAAAACTAAAATTAAAATCAAGGCAAATGCAATCTTAATTGTGGAAATCAAGCTATACTTCATTCTTGAAAACAAATACTAGAGGAATACTTCAGTTAATGAAGTAAAATACTTTCCGATGCATTGCTTTCTTAACATAAAATCTGGTACCAGAGACACAAATAAAATGGAGAGAAAAGAGATAGGTTCTTGCACCACAAAAAAGAAGAGCAGGTCAACATGGCTTCAGCAAACTTCTAACCTAAAAATATGTGCACAAGAAATTAAAGAAACAGGTCAAGTAAGCCTTGCATAAATAAAGGGTTTACACCTTCCAACTCAACAGGGAACAAAAAGGAAGCTGGGCAGGCATAAAGAGGCTTTGTTAGGTGAGGTATGTTTGAATACACATCTGTTAGCCTGCATGCAGGAGCAAATATTGGCATCTTTGGGTGCATTTACACTGTAGAGTTAATATAATTTGACACCACTTTAACTGCCATGGCTCAATTCTATGGGATTATGGGAGTTGTAGTTTGACATGGCCTTTAGTCTTCTCTGCCATAGAGTTCTGGTGCGTCACAAAACTACAAACCCTGGGATTCCACAGCTTTGAATCGTGGCAATTAAACTGATGTCAAACTCAATATAATTCTACAGTGTAAATGCACCCGAAAGAAAAGAAATTGTCATAACACAGATCTATTTGTGCATTTATTCTGAATTCGGTAGGCCTTTTTGATCCAAAGTGATATGAAACAAAAGAAAAAAAAGCAGCAGTTTTGAATTTCAGTGTGAGTGTTAAGGATTAATCTTACTAGTGTTCACTTCTCTATGTGGCTTTCATGTATTTGCAATTCCTTTGCATGTACCAGGGGTACACAAAGGAATAAAACTGTTATTGGCCTGTGTATATAGGCTGCTACATGTATAGGCTGGAAAGCCTATATAATCAGATCCCCATATCAAATAGAAAGTGCTTGTATATCAGTAAACCTGTGGACATTAGGGATGGAGCCAGGAAGTTATGGAATGCAACTGATGTGTGGAATTATTTGACTTTCAATACCATTAATTTATATTTATATCTTCATTTCCACACACACATAGAATCCATTTACATATAAATGTGCTTTGTGCATCTGAGGACACAGAATTTTGGTCAATAAAGCATATGTTACAATCCATTCATTTTAAAGTTGCCATTCATCTTTTGTTGTTCTAAATTGTTTGATGTGTTTTGCCTTACACCATCAGACCATTTCAAGAGAGATTTGTTCATTTCCAGAAATGGCTTTACACCATCCTATAACCTTGAAAAATCAAAATGCCCCACAGTGTCCTTTAAGGCAAAGTTAGCGTTAGGGTTTTTTTGTGTACATGTGTCAGGAGTGACTTGAGAAACTGCAAGTTGCTTCTGGTGTGACAGAATTGGTCATCTGCAAGAATGTTGTCCATGGGACGCCCAGATGTTTTACCACCCTGTGGGAGGTTTCTCTCATGACCCTGCATGAGAAGCTGGAGCTGACAGATGGGAGTTCACACCGCTCCCCGGATTCAAACCACCGCACAAAGGTTTAACCCACTAGGGTTAGGGTTCTTCTTAAACTATTTCCACTTGCAACCCTTTCCATCCAAGAAATGTTTACATGGGCCCAAGTACATAGTTATATACATTAGGCATAAAACATCTAATGATAACAAATCATCATCTGCAAATCTTGCAAAACAGGTTGATTTTCCCTTTTGTGAAGCACAGCTGAAGCCTTTTCTTCAGTGTCCACTGTAAACACTGCATGTTGTTGCTAACAGATTGGTGAAAATGGGTGGCCTTGAGAAAACTTTTCCTGTTGCCAAATTTTTCATGACCCTAAGATTTAGCTAAGGGAGCCCTACTTGGGGTCAGAGCCCACAGTTTAAGGAGCAATGGGACAATTTTACCATTTTGGAGAAACTATTTTAAACTCAGGGGAGCCCTTTTTTTAACTAAGAAGTAAACCAGGAGTCCACTTCCAATTTACTTACTGATTTTAAAAAGGCATATTTTGTATCTAAAACAGGTTGGACATGTGTATTGAAAGAAAGCCAAGGGGAGCATTCTAATTTTAAAAACCACACACGCACGCACACACTTTTAACTCATAAAAGATTCAAAACTAGCTTTGGAAGCTATATGCAAGCCATGAACAACTTTCCCCACCTCCCTGATTTATTCACTCACTGATTTATAATTCCCTTAGTTAGTGTAAGACAAGTGCACCTCATTACCTTTGTCAAAAGGAAAGTGTGAAATTTAACAAGATCATCATCATAATGATCAATCATCAAACAAAAGGGACAAAGAAAGGCAATTAAGGCTTTTGGCAAATATATTGCAAAACAATCTCAATTCTGTAATTCAATACTGTACACTCTTGTCAACTCTCAATGTACTTACCACCAATATTTTAAATTAGTTTGATGTACTTTGAGCATTACAGTATAACTCTCATATAAGATCGTACTTCAAATCCTTGCTCAGCCACGGAAACCCACTGGGTGACAAGAGGGAAAATCACTCTCTCAACTTCAGTGGTCAACAAAGACAAACCCCTTCTGAACAAATCTTGTCAAAATGATAGTTTCACGTCAGAGTCACCATAAGTCAGAAATCCTTTGAAGGGCCGCAACAACAACTACCTTAAACATCGGTAATGTAATAATTTGATTCTATTCAAAGCATAATTTGATATAGTTTTGTTCAAATACTGTCCTGCCTTGTCATTGTAATTATAATGCTTCTACCTAAGCCTTAAAGCTCATTAATTACTGAGATCAGAGATGGGCAACAATGGGAACGATGACAGGGATCAAATTTCACCTCTGGAGCACACATGTAGACCACAGCACTAGAAAAACTCATATCATAGTGACCAGTGAAGTAACATCTGGTTTCAATTTCCAACATGTAGGTGGTCTGAAAGGTATGGAAATTAAATTAGGCAATCCACTAGTGGATTGGGGGAGATAAAAGAGTTTTGGAGACTCAATGGGGTTTGAAGGTAGAAAAGAGATTGTGGCAAATGCAATTGCAGGCTGCAATTCCTTTTCTCCTGCTTTGGATCTTGTATTACTTTGTGGCCCAATAAACTTTAAGCAAATGACACATTTAACTGCATGCATATATATTTATTAATGCTCATAAATGGTTTTTTTTCTTCTTTTAGCACTAAAAGGCTCACCTGGTGGACTGCCATGTCCAGCTGCCGCTGTAGCAATAGCAAAGGCAGAAGCAGGGGAAACAGAACAATGGCTGTTGTCAGTCGCCTGTACTGCAAAGAAGAATAAAAGGATGAATCATCAACAACTAGCTAACATGGTTTTGCAACTAAGAATTGGATTTTGAATACACAACAAAAACAAACTTTTTAAGGGATGCATTTATGTTTGTGTGTGTAGGCATAATTTTTGTTGTAAACACATTGTGTACTATAAAGAAAACAATGGTCACCAAAAAGTATCTTAACAGAAATGTCTATTAATTAAATTTTGCTCAATCTTTGTAGATCCTCCAGCATAACTTGATGGTCAACTTCTATTGGAAACTGACCATAGAATCCCTCTGTAAGTATTTTCTAGGTCCTCCAGCATGACTTTATAGTGACTTCAGGTAAACATTCCTCTAGAGCAGCGATTTCCAACTTTTTTTTTTGACCAAGGACCATTTTGACCAGGGACCACTCTCCAACATCAGTACCAAAAGGATTACCAATCAGTTTTTGGTCAACTTTAGATTCAGTTTGATTATTTGGGGTGCTGATTCAGAAAACTGCATTGGATAGTTTCTGATACAGAACATATGCTATCCAATAGTTGCCATCTGCTCACCCACAGAAACCCATATTTAATAAGCCTCAGCACTATAACAGGGTTTTGCAAGACCAGTCACTCTTGTTGTAACAGTGTAGTAACAGTGAGGTCCCGGACCATGTGTTAGTTCTTGCGGACCACTGGTGGTCCATTAACCACAGGTTGGCAACCACTGCACTAGAGGACCTAGAGATTTTCGGAAAGAACTTCTTAATCAAATCTACAAATAATCAAATTTTCAAAAGTCAAATGTGTAAATGTGGAGAGCCAACTGTATATTCATGTCTATTATTTTCAGTGCTTCCCTTGCTCCTAAGAGGTTTTTGACAGTATCAACTTTCGAAGCTGAATTAAATGACTTAACTGGCACTATTTTGTTACCCACAATCAGTCTATAAATATGTGTTTAATATTTTATATGGATTGACAAAGGGGCTGGGAGAAGACTGTGATTCACTTTAAGACAATATTTACTTTACACAGTGAACTGGAACCAAATTTGCTGTATTAGTGAGGTATGTCTGTATATGTATTCAGGAAACTTTGAAGATGATTAGGGTTGCAAAGTTAAAGAGATCCCAATTGTTATTTTCTCAAGTGATGATCACTTTTTAAAATTGCTGTGGATAACAGAAAAATAGACATGCATTTCTTGAGAGTAGAAAGAAAGTTCTACTCTAGATGTGTTTATGATATACAGAGAAGAAGTATTTCACTGGCCAACACATTTTGGTGCCTCAAATGTTAGACTTGTTTCTGGGTATATTTGACATGCTGATTCCAAAAATGTCACCAGTTTTCCTACATCAGTTTCAGTTTTTGAGATACAGAACATATGCATATACCTTTTGCCATCTACTTGCCCACAGAAAATCATGATAACCATATCTAAGAAACTAGAATGGATGCAGTCTATCCAATGCAATTTTCTGAATCAGAGCCCCAAATAACCCAGGAACAGGCCTAAAAACCAAGAAACCAATTTTTTTTTGTTGAATTTGGCTGTTTCCCTTCCTGCATTGGATCAACTGTATTTCTCTACCATGAAGGGGACTCAAGGCGGTTTTACATATGGCAACTATTCAGTGCCTTTGGACAACAAACAGAATACACTTAAGTTAAAAATTAAATGCACATTAAAACATATAAAATACTGCATTCACAATTAAAATCACACCATTAGTGTCTTGTATTATAAGAGCAACTGGTGAAGGAGCAAAGGATCTGCTGGAGTTCTACCAAAAGAACTTCAGTGTCTAGTTACACAATTTGTTCACATCCTGTAATGAGTAATTAGGATACCATCTGTAAATTTTCAGTGCCACACATGTTCTCGCCCCATCCTAACCCATAACAATGGTAGATATTACAATGTTTCACATTGCACACAGGGCACAATATGTGCCTACAACTTGGATCATGCAAATCTGTCAGTAGCAAGACTCAAATCAATATTTTTCTTGAACAAATGTACATCTTGTTCAAAATATTGCTGAACATTTCCTCACATCTTAATGCAAATATGCTTTTCATTCTGGTACTGCTCATATGTTTATCATCTAAAATGACATTCGTCACATTTTCCTTTTATATAGTCTCTGGGATGAACAGAAATTTGGGGTAAATAAATATTTTTAAAGCTTTAATAAAATACGATTTTAATCGCCCCAAATCTGTTTCTAATTTAAGACAAATATTGCAAATCAAAGAAGCCTAGACCTTATTGAAGTTGCTTGCTAACACTTAAAGAAACATGTAATGCATTAAAATGATTTTTTTTTAAAAAAAATCTTACCCCCTGACTGTCGATAGCGCAAATGCCTTGGGGTTGAAGGAGATCTACATGGAGATAGCTCAGCAGTATCCATAGATGAGGCACTTTCTGGGATTGTACGGTCCACTGATACAGACTCCAGAACCGCTGCTTTTAAAAGCATGCATTTTAATACAGGGCAATCAAATGGTTTGTTAACTCATAACAAACTTGCAAGATGTTTGATATACATTGACATCTTTCTAAACTGAGTGTGAACAACTCTTTTTCAGTGTTTTTCAGTGCAGATTTAGTACCAAGCAGACACATTTTTTAAAAAACTGAAATATATTTCCATATAACAAACAGTAATGTATTCCGTTTGGTGAGAGTGTAGAAGTGGTCTGCTACAAAAATTAATAACGAACTACATTACTTAACGTCAGCAGCTTTGATAAGTCCTAGTTCTAACATCAGGGAGAAAGGATCATATACCATTGGGCTGACACAACAGTCTGTTAACACAAAGGCAATCTTCCAAATTTTATATAAGATTGGTCAATGTATTGTGCATTAAAATAAGATGGTTCCACTTTCACAGTCATCATAAACAAACATGATGGCAATGGTGCCAATGTATTTCAATGGTGACAATGTATGCAAATGATATCTCCTCAGATTTACATTGCTGACAATTTTGCCACTAGATCTTTGCGATAACTGTGTTAGGAAGTTTGACATATAATTAAGGTTATCCTGTTATGTCAGCTTATATACATTCAATATGGTATGACAGGTACTCCACAAAATAATCACAATAATCTTTAAATCAAATTCTTAATGTGGAAACACAATTTTAAAATAACACTGGACTATTAATTGTGAAGGTAGTAGTCATACAATTTTTCATCTATTCAGACAAAATATACATCACAAGATCAAAGCTGAAGCTAGAAACATTTTTAATCACTTTGGGCTTGTCTATGCTAACGACAAAAATGCAGACTCATTTCAAAACCAGTTCTATTTGTCTCCAGATGCATATGTACTTCCAGTGTGTATCCTGGGTTTTCCGGCATTAACCCAACTACACCTACCACTCTTCCTCTGTGCCAAGTTAATCCAAAGTTCAAATAATGCAAATAGAAGAAATTTACTGTTCATAATTTAACACTGATGAATTTATGATAGAAGCTGCAATATTTAGAATTTAGTATCACACTCTTGGAACGTCACAGCCATGACTGGCATTGAAATTCTAAATATTGCGACTATGCACAACGATTATATGCTACATTTTTCATATTTTTTCCATAAAATGTTAATTTATACCTTTTTATTTTACTTAGTAGCAATATTTTGCTAGTTAAATATAGATTTAAGCATGTTTTCTCTTACTCACTAGAATATATTATATTGACACTGTTTCTTGAGCTTATTGTTTTATTTATGATTGGCAAATTACATTTGCCATTATCAGTAGAGTCAATTTTAAAAGATCCCTTGTTAAACAATATATTACAACAAATCCTTTGATAAGGCTATTAAATGTCTCATCAGGGAGTTTATAAGATGCTCTATCTCAAAGGCATAATTGTTTCTTCTTCAGTCATGACTGTGATCCCTCTCACTGAACGTGGGAGGTTTTTCACAGACATTAAAAGAAGACTACCAGAATAAATCCCTGTAAATAATGAGACTGAGGATGAGAGCAGTTTTAATTAGTTGTAATTTCCAGAGCATCACTTGGATATTTAACAACAGAGAATGCTTTATGAAGGCATAAAAAACCAAAATCATTTATTGGTTTCTTGTTTAAGTTGTAAACAATATCCCAGACAGCCCTTACATCTTAGAACTACACTACATTTCAGCTTTAAATTAAGTGTATGTCATTACAACACTTAGACAAATAGTCCCAATTGGTGCCAATGGGAAATTATTATCTAACTATCCCAACCTACTGATGAGAGAGGGACCTCATTCTCACTATACTAGGGAAGATGTCATACGTCTCTGTTTATCATGCATTACTTTCTGGCAGGTACCCCAAAACACAATGTACCTGTAATTAAAGACAGTAAGAACAACACAGCAGCACTCTATGTACCAAATATCTCATTTGGTTGCCAGTCTCAAGAATTGGTAAGAGTCATGTGATCTGAAGGCTACATACTACCCTATCAATGCTATGTTTATGAACCCCATAGGGAAAAAAATCTTAAATGTGATTGCCCCACATGCACGCACACTGCCAAAAACCCACAAGAGAATCCTATCTGCAGCCATAACTACCAAAAATAATGTGGAGAAAGCACATCATGTTTTAAGCAATTGCTCCTTCTTTCATCTCAAGGGGGTGAACATCAGGAGAGATTGCTTCTGGGACATGACCATACAGCCCGAAAAACTTACAACAACCCGGTGATGTGGCCGTTGGTGAGTCCCAATATTGTTAAATCATGGCTTCAAAGTTCAGATTAACCCATACTGGGTTCACTGTGCCACTGACATGGAAAACCCCAGTCACTGCTAACAATTATATGAAAGCGACTATGTATGCTTTAGGATATCTAGGTTAGATGTATCTGTGGCTTTTTATAGCCTCTGAAGCTGGCACTGGTGTTGTTTTGGCTCAGCTCAAAGTGGAAATGAATGGCAGAAAAGGTCATTTAAGTCCAGGAGATACCCTGACACCGGTGTGTTGCCAGAGAAGGGGGAAAACAATGAGATGGGAAAGAGGGAATGTGAGCAGATCATCTGGTCTGCTCTAAAGTCCAGATCACTCTATAATGGGCTGGCAAAAAAGAAATACCGTATTCCTTTGATTCTAAGATGCCATCAATTGTAAGAGACACGCTAATTCAGTACCACTAACACACACACACACACCAGTATATATATATGAGAAAAGCACCTGTGATTCTAAGATGTGCCCTATTTTAAAGGTGTTTATATTGGGTGGAGCGTGCATCTTAGAATTAGGTTCTTGTGGGTTTTTTCGGGCTATAGAGCCATGTTCTAGAGGCATTTCTCCTGACGTTTCGCCTGCATCTATGGCAAGCATCCTCAGAGGTTGTGAGGTCTGTTGGAAGTAGGAAAAATGGGTTTATATGTCTGTGGAATGGCTGGGGTGGGGCAAGGAGCTCTTCCCTGCTGCAGTTAGGTGTGAATGTTTAGCTGATCACCTTCATTAGCATTTGAAGGCCTGCCTGAGTCTGGGAAAATCTGTTGCTGGGAGGTGTTAATCTGTGCCTGGTTTTTTCCTCTCTGTTGTTTAGCTGTTATAATTTTAGAGTTTTTTAATACTGGTAGCCAAATTTTGTTCATTTTCATGGTCTCTTCCTTTCTGTTGAAATTGTCCACATGCTTGTGGATTTCAATGGCTTCTCTGTGTAGTCTGACATGGTGGTTGTTGGTGTGGTCCAGCATTTCTGTGTTCTCAAATAATATGCTGTGTCCAGTTTGGTTCATCAGGTGCTCTGCTATGGCTGATTTCTCTGGTTGAAGTAGTCTGCAGTGCCTTTCATGTTCCTTGATGCGTGTTGGGCGCTGCGTTTGGTGGTCCCTATGTAGACTTGTCCACAGCTGCATGGTATACGGTAGACTCCTGCAGAGGTGAGAGGATCCCTCTTGTCCTTTGCTGAACGTAGCATTTGTTGGATTTTCTTGGTGGGTTTGTAGATTGTTTGTATGTTGTGTTTCCTCATCAGCTTCCCTATGCGATCAGTGGTTCCCTTGATGTATGGCAGGAACACTTTTCCTCTGGGTGGATCTTCATCTTTACTCTCGTGGCTTGTTCTTGGTCTTGCAGCTCTTCTGATGTCTGAGGTGTAGTATCCATTGGCCTGGAGAGCCCAGTTGAGGTGGTTCAGTTCATCTTGGAGGAGGTGGGGTTCGCAGATTCTTTTTGCACGGTCTGCCAAGGCTTTAATGGTGCTTCTTTTTTGACTTGGGTGATTGTTGGCACAGATAGATATCTACATAAAAACTCCAACCATCACCCAAGTCAAAAAAGAAGCACCATTAAAGCCTTGGCAGACCGTGCAAAAAGAATCTGCGAACCCCACCTCCTCCAAGATGAACTGAACCACTTCAACTGGGCTCTCCAGGCCAATGGATACTCCACCTCAGACATCAGAAGAGCTGCAAGACCAAGAACAAGCCACGAGAGTAAAGATGAAGATCCACCCAGAGGAAAAGTGTTCCTGCCATACATCAAGGGAACCACTGATCGCATAGGGAAGCTGATGAGGAAACACAACATACAAACTATCTACAGACCCACCAAGAAAATCCAACAAATGCTACGTTCAGCAAAGGACAAGAAGGATCCTCTCACTTCTGCAGGAGTCTACCGTATACCATGCAGCTGTGGACAAGTCTACATAGGGACCACCAAACGCAGCGCCCAGAGACGCATCAAGGAACATGAAAGGCACTGCAGACTACTTCAACCAGAGAAGTCAGCCATAGCAGAGCACCTGATGAACCAACCTGGACACAGCATATTATTTGAGAACACAGAAATGCTGGACCACTCTCACAACCACCATGTCAGACTACACAGAGAAGCCACTGATATACACAAGCATGTGGACAATTTCAACAGAAAGGAAGAGACCATGAAAATGAACAAAATCTGGCTACCAGTATTAAAAAACTCTAAAATTACACCAGCACAACAGAGAGGAAACAACCAGGCACAGATTAACACCTCCCAGCAACAGATTTTCCCAGGCTCAGGCAGGCCTTCAAATGCTAATGAAGGTGATCAGCTAAACATTCACACCTAGCTCAGCAGGGAAGAGCTCCTTGCCCCACCCCAGCCATTCCACAGATATATAAACCCATTTTTCCTAGTTCCAACAGACTTCTCAACCTCTGAGGATGCTTGCCATAGATGCAGGCGAAACGTCAGGAGAAATGCCTCTAGAACATGGCTCTATAGCCCGAAAAAACCCACAAGAACCTAGTGATTCCAGCCATGAAAGCCTTCGACAATACATCTTAGAATTGAAGGCATAGGGTATGGGTACATCTTACAATTCTAGAAAAGCATCTCCATTTCAAAGCCTCTCCCCGAAGTCTTTATATATATATTTCTAAGATGGGAAGTACAAGAAGAAAAGTACAAAGGCTGCCATAACAGTTAAGCATATTTCCTTCCCCTTTGTACCTACAAACATCGGATGGTTAGAAATGATATACTGGTCCCATGGGTGATGCTCACCAAAAAAACGACACCTACTTCCTTTGAGTCAACCCATATCCTTTTTTAACAGTAATGTCTGACCAAAAGATACACAAAAGCACAATAGATGAATGTATTAAAAATACCTCTTCGAAGGCTTCTTCTCAGTTTGTTGCAAAGCTCTATGCGTGGATTCTCTAAGTTCTCATCTACAAAATTAGAATTTTGTTCTGGAGATGAGGGTCCTTTGCTCAGGTCTAGGGGTACTTTAGGCAAAGTGGGGGGTGGTGATGTAGCAGGGCTATATGTTGAGGTAGGACTGCTAGCAAGAGAGGAGGTAGACAGGTCTAAAGCTCCTATTCTTGAATTTAGTGGGGAGCTTAATGACAGTTTTCTGGTTCTGACAGGAGAGGAAGTCCTTGAGAGTGACAGAGGTGGAGGAGAAGAGAATTTGCGACAGAGGTGTGGTGATTTCGCATCAACCAAATGATCTCCTCTGTTGTTTTGATTAGTAGCAAAAAACAACTCCAAAGATCTAGGGAAACAAAAACAAAATCTGTAAATATTTTTTTAAATTTCATGAACGAGTTAATGGTATTATTATGTTTATTTATACACCACTTTTTTCTCCACGTGGAGAGAAAGAGCACATGAGAAGACATAAAACTAAAATGTGATTATTATTTTTTTAGATTTTCTTCACTATTTTTCTTCATTATCTATCCAGCATTCACAATTGTGCATAAAAATGGCATGGATAATCCTAACTTTTATTTTCAATTGTATTCCTTCAGAAAGTTGTCTTGCTCCTTCATATCTGCCCTTCCATATCCTGTCTTCTTCTGCTTCCTTAGCTGGAGTTCTTAGTGCCCTTACTGCCTATTACAGGGGAAACCACTTGATCTCTAATCCATCTAAAACACAGGCATGTGTTTTTTGCCTTAAGAACAGACAAGCATCTCGAACTCTGAGGATTACCTGGGAAGGAATCCCACTGGAGCACTGCAGGACACCAAAATACCTGGGAATTACTCTGGACCATGCTCTGACTTGCAAGAAGCACTGCTTGAATATCAAGCAAAAAGTGGGTGCTAGAAATAATATCATACGAAAGCTGATTGGCACAACCTGGGGATCACAACCAGAGATAGCAAAGACATCTATCCTTGTGCTTTGCTACTCTGCTGCTGAATACACATGCCCAGTGTTGAAAACATCTCACCACACTAAAACAGTGGATGTGGCTCTTAATGAGACATGCCGTATTATCACAAGATGTTTACGCCATACACTACACCAGAGGAACTCCAGGTGGTGAGCTTCTGGTCAAAGCAAAGTTAGCATAATGCCACTTTTAAAAACTTTGTTTGTTGGGGGGTTTTGTACATTATAACTGTGGTCTCTATTTGCTTCTGACATGATAAATAAATAAATAAATATCTGGAGTTAGCATTCTAATTAACGACTGAACTAAAGTATGGCGAAACTTGAACTATTTCAAGGTCTTTTATCATCTGCTTTAAAAGTATGTAAATCATCTGTAGTCATTATTTTGTGTTCTTAACGTTTAATTGTAACCCTACATTTGTGACTTTCTTCAACAAATGACCCAAGGCTTTGCTATTTTCTGCTAGTAGTATGGTGCCATCTGCACATCTTAAATTGTTAATGTCGATTCCTCCAATTTTCGGGTTCCTTCCTCCAAGCATAATCCTGCCCTATGTATGAAGTACTCAGCATAAAAAAAAACTGGGTTGTTGTAGGTTTTTCCGGGCTATATGGCCATGTTCTGGAGGCAATTTTTCTCCTGATGTTTCGCCTGCATCTATGGCAAGCATCCTCAGAGGTAGTGAGGTCTGTTGGGAGTAGGGAAAATGGGTTTATATATCTGTGGAATGACCAGGTTGAGACAAAGGACCCCTGTCTGCTGGGGCTAGCCGTGAATGTTTCAGCTGATCACCTTGATTTGCATTCAATGGCCTGGAGGTGCCTGGGGGGAATCTCTTGTTGAGTGTGATTTTATGTGCCTGTTTGTTTCCCCTCTGTTGTTTTGCTGTTGTAATTTTTGAGTTTTTAAATACTGGTAGCCAGATTTTGTTCATCTTCATGGTTTCCTCCTTTCTGTTGAAATTGTCCACATGCTTGTGGATTTCAACGGCTTCTCTGTGTAGTCTGACATGGTGGTTGTGAGAGTGGTCCAGCACTCTCACAACCCATTTTTCCTACTTCCAACAGACCTCACTACCTCTGAGGATGCTTGCCATAGATGCAGGCGAAACGTCAGGAGAAAAATTGCCTCCAGAACATGGCCATATAGCCCGGAAAAACCTACAACAACCCAGTGATCCCATCCATGAAAGCCTTCGACAATACATAAAAAAAACTGTTTCTGAGTTCAGTTATACTTCAAAACATGTTGTGCAACAGCCATATATTTAAGATTAAGCCATAGTTTTTCATGGTCTGTACAATCAAAGGCTTCCCAATAAAGGACAGGTTTTCTTTTGAAATTCTTTGCTCTGCTCCATTATTATTATATTACTAACTGTACCCAGCCACGTGTTGCTGTGGCCCATTGTGGAGAAATGGGAAAGAAAGAAAAGAGGAAGAGCTGGTTTCTAAGCTATCAATACACAACTGAAGTGGCCTATAAAGTGTCAACCTAATATAGGCCCCTTTTCAGTCTCCTCGAGGCCAAAGGGTTATATGAATGTGTGGAAGGGCCCTGGGTTACCTGAGTCGACACTGCCATATAACCTAGTTCAAAGATATTATATAGGTATTGTTGTTGTTGTTGTTATAGACATATAGATATTATTATAGGCATATAGATATTATTATTATAGACACAAATATTATTATTAAAGGTATATAGGTATTATTATTATAGATGTTATTTTTTATTTCCTATCAAAAATTATTATTATTATTATTATTATTATTATTATTATTATTATTATTATTAACAGTATTTATATACCACCTTTCTCACCCCTGGGGGACTCAAAGCATTGCATGAATTAGTATAAAATTGATAAAAAAAATAGAAGAAGGACAGGACTAAACATCTTTCAAGCAAAAACGGGCAACAGATGTATGGATATTATTACAGACCTATGGATATTATTATAGGCATATAGATATTTTTATTATTATAGATATTATATAGCTATTATTATTATATATGTAGACATATTATTATACATGTATATAGATATTATTATAGACATAGATATTATAGGCATATAGGTATTATTATTATAGATGTATAGATATTATTGACAAACAGATATTATAATTATAGACATATGGATATTATTTATTTATTTATTTATTTCGTATACTTCTACCCCGCCTTTCTCAACCCCCAAGGGGGGACTGAGGGCGGCTTACAAAAAGGCACATCTTTGTGCCTGCATAAATACAATAACATATAAAACCAGCAATTAAATGGTCAACAATTAAAACAATTAAAACAACAATATATCACACAATCAATAGCCAATCTCAGACACAGCATTCGCCAACTCAGAGTTCATATTTCGTTCCACCTTGTCCAATTCCTATCCATCGTCACAGCCTTTATTCATCTGCCAGATTGCCCAAACGCCTGGTCCCACATCCATGTTTTTAATTTCTTTCTGAAGGAAAGGAGGGATATTGCTGATCTAATCTCCCCGTGGAGTGAATTCCATAGGTGAGGGGCCACCACTGAGAAGGCCCTGCTCCTCGTCCCCGCCAATCTCACTTTGACAGAGGCGGGGCTGAGAGCAGGGCCTCCCCAGAGGATCTTATACTCTGAGATGGGACGTAAAGGGAGATGCGTTCGAACAGATAGACCTATAGATATTATTATAGGCATAAAGACATTATTATTACAAATATGCAGATACTATTATAGTCATGTAGATATTATTGTTATAGACATATAGAAATCATAGACATATCAATATATATAATAGACTTACAGATATTATTATGATAGATATATAGATATTATTATTGTAGCTATATTATAGCCCAGGATTGCTATAAAGTAAAAATGGATGGCCATCTTTCGGGAGTGTTTTGATTGTGCCTTCCTGGACAGCCTTTTCTAACTCACGGAGCATGCCTTTTTGTCCTTTCTTTGAATATTGGACTTCATTTCCCAGAATTCCTTCCCATAACTCAGTATGGGTGAGCTTTCTGGGCACACACACACACACAATCCCTCCCGTGTGAGTTCGTAGCGGAGGCACCTCCATGCTGCCAACAGCGGGAAAGGAAAGGAAAGGAAAGGAAAGGAAGGAAAAGGAGGGGTGGATCTGGAGGAGGGTGTCCCCCCCCCTCTCTCTTTCCCGGCCTCCCTCTCTCTGAATCCATTGGGAAGAGAGAGGCAGGGGGTAGCAAGAGGGATATACCTGCCACTTTTCCCTCCCTCTCTCAAGCTACCTCTCTCTCAGCTGTTGGGTTTTTTTTCCCTTGTGCAGGAGAGAGGGGCGGGGGAGGGTGTTCTTTTAACACATACTCTGTATAGTCATTTAGCTTTGTGGGACATTTGTATCTTATCTAGTCTTCGAATGGTCTGATATATCATTTACCATTATCATAATTACTCTTTCTATACGTTGCCTTTCCATGGTAAAAACAAAGCTTAAAGCACTTTACATCAAAAACCATAATAAAACATATCTCCTCATTAACAAGGCAATGTTACTTCAAGATTATTACCCCACATCCCACAATAAATATACACAAATATAAAGCAATTTTATCTTAACACGAAAACGGTCTGTTATTTAGATTGTACTGGCTTTTTAAACATTGTTTTGAAAGACTGTGTTAAGATGTTATCTTAGATTTATGATAATTTTAGCAGTAAACAAGCAGATACCTCCGCCAAGGGCAAACTTCAGCCAACCAGGTGTTTTGGAATTCAACTATTGGCTGTCAGGAATTGTGGGAGTTGAAGTCCAAAACACCTGGAGGGCTGAAGTTTGCCCATGGCTGAGATACCCCATCAGTAGCTGTAAATTGTTTTAAGTAAAGCTGTTGTCTGTTGCAGGTTTCATGCTATAATGGCAGGCAATGTCATTAGAAAAGCAAGAATCGAAAAGAACTCACCGAACAGGGATTGAGGTGAAAGGCCGTTTGTAAATATCTGACAGTTTCTCCAGTACAACATTTGCAGTAGTAAATATGCGGTAAGTATGTAGGAAAGTATTAAGGAAATCAATACTGAGAAATCGCAAGTCTGTTAATCTCTCCAAAAGGCGTTCAACGCTTGCATAACGAATCTGGGGCACTTTGCAGGAATTTAGTGTTTTGCTGAAGCAGATGTCAGTGTCATCTTTGTGAAGACGAGCATCAGATCTACATAATAAATTATTTAAAAGCATATTTAGCATTACTTTTCAAGGGACATTGAACTTTTTTCAGATATGACTGTTTTTTCAGAAGTTTTTCAGAAGTTCTCATATATGACTGTTTTTTCAAAAGTTTTTTCAGATACGGCTGCATGAAGGTGCAATTTTGATCATATTCTTAGAGTGCCTATGACTATACAATGAAAAGAATAACACTATGTAACACAATTTGGAAGTAGTTATTATACTCTAGAAGGTTCATTTTTGTGGCTGCCACAAACTATGTTTTGTTATTTTTGTCAGGAGCGATTTGAGAAACTGCAAGTTGCTTCTGGTGTGAGAGAATTGGCCATCTGCATGGACGATGCCCAGGAGATGCCCAAATGTTTGATATTTTACCATCTTTGTGGGAGGCTTCCCTCGAGTCACCACATGAGAAGCTGAAGCTGACAGAGGGAACTCAACCTGCTCTCCCCAGATTTGAACCGCTGACCTATCAATCCTGCTGGCACAAGGATTTAACCTACTGCACCACTGGGGGGTCCTACAAACTATGTTGAATTGGTTGAGACTCTGAAATATTCATTGAAAAAAAACTATCAAAATATGCTGCAAGATGTCCCACAAAAACAAAGTTTCTGCAGTTTAATACACTTTTTCCATGTTTTTATGAGAGAACTAATTAGGAAATGACATTTATATCCCAGGTTCAAAAATGGTGTTACATAGTGTAATCTCTGATAAATGGAAAAGAGCACAATAGGTTTCTTTGGAAGAACTAGACAATATTTTTGTAACATCCTCAAAACCAAAAGGGCCATTTTAATAAGGACGAATGTAGCCTCATACTTTTCCTTTTATGCACTAGTGCCATATATGTGCCATTTAGAGATATGTAGTTACCAATTTTGCCTCAGTATTTCATCCATGTAGAGAGGCATGTTTCTTAAACAATATTCCAGAATGCATAAGCTTATTAGAAATATTTTTTCTCAAAAAACTCCAAGTGATATTTTCAGAGAAGCAGTATGAAAATTGTATTTATCTCTTTTTTTAATGCCCTTTGTTTCCAGTGTCTCTTCACAGGTAGGCATCTGTGAAAGTGGGGCCAATTTTCCTCCCTGCATAAATCATGCAACCATATTTTTCCAGAAATACAATTAACATGATATTTCTAAAATTTGACCACAATCTGTAGACTAAGCCAATACTGTGCAACTTGGTGTTGGAACACGTCTCCCACTGTGCTCTATCAGCTACATCAATATATAGTTTATTATAATGTTTTCAAAAAGAAAATCAGTGTCCATTCTATTATATAAAACCTGGAGAAAAATTAATGCAGACGCAAATAGAATGCAACATAGAGTATCCAATTAAAGGAAAACTAAGACCTGACTTCACCTCCTAATTATGTATCTGAACAGAAATGCAACAAGTCTGAGTCTACATTATGCTGACATGAAAACCTTGTCACACTTACTTGATCATATGTGGCACAGTGACTTTGGAGTTTTCTTCAAATACTATGGTCATTAAACCATTACACCGTATGTTGTCAACACACTGTAAATGTTAATAATGAAGAACAATATTAAGAACCAGTTGTTTCCCCAGAACCTGAAATCCCTACAAGCCTACTAACCACACATTTCATGCTCACAGGAAATGAAAAGACAACTGGAATAAAAATGTAAACGTTACCTAGGAAACAGAAAATACACTGGACTGAACTGCAAGGCAGGTTCAACTAGCACTGTGTATAAAATTCGAGCCAGTGGAGTCAGAACAATTTGCTGGAGTATTTCAAAGTATATTCTGAGCATCTTCTGAACCGTCAAATTATAGTGTATGTCCTTCATAAGAAACAATTGTTTCCATTACTACTGGGAAGCAATTCATGTAGGCTTCTAGGTTATAACCCGCCATATGACAGTACTGTTATGATGGGTAGTTACTGGAGATTAAAGATGTATTTGTTTGCAAGCAGAAACAATAGAATCCATATGATCAAGCAAATCTTAGAACCCAGTGACCCCAACAGGACCTCTTGATACCTCTCTTGTTTCAACATAGAGGAGAGTCAGGGCGGAGCGGGAGAGAAATCCTGGGCATCCGCAGGAAGGAATAAATGGAACCATCATTTTAATCCTTCTCCACTATCCTCCATGTAGCCTCACTTCAGAGTCACACTACATCAGGGACACTGGAAGGGGATTAAATAGATTGCTCCCTTGTTTACTGTAGCCATTCAAAGCTTTTTTTGGCACAAAGTAGAGCGGGAGGGGTATCTGACTCAGATATGCAGGCAGCTGCATTGATCCCTTTAGAAATGCTCTTTGTTCAATGCTATTGTTTGGTGATGAAAAAGGAAATGAGTAGCTCCAAAGCAGAAAGACCATCTGTTTAAACTGAGCATCCTTGGGGTTGTTTCTCATTACTTACCATGAGCATTGAGTGTATTTAAAATAATGTCTCCACTCCCCCCCCCCCCCCCCCCCCCCGCCTTATGCTATCTTACTGTTTGCTTTGCCCTATCTCCTAGTACATCCTACCCTATCCTATCTCCTAGTACATCCTACCCTATCCTATCTCCTAGTACATCCTACCCTATCCTATCTCCTAGTACATCCTACCACAGGAACTTTTGACCATGGCTGCATTAAACTCTGCAGTCACCTCTGGAATGCAAAGAAAATGCAGTAATGGCATTTTCCCAGTCCAATGCTTAAACCACTATATTAAACTGGCTCTGTAACATCACTCAGTATCAACATCAAAGCCATTCAAATCAGTACTTAGTTATGTTGTGATCACAGAGGGTACTTATGCCAGCTTTTTTCCTCTCTCATTCCAGCCTGTCAAACAAACTACTACTCTACCCACATATTTATAAGGGTAAGGTTCAGAAAGGAGGAATCTTGCTTTGCAGACCTTACCCTATTATACGCCAATGCCTTAAATCAAGAAATAGTTTTCTAAGATCTACAGAGATATTTGCAGGAACACCGCAGCAAGTGAGAGTCCAAAATGGCAGGCGAAAACCCAGAACCTCAACCAATGGCTGATACCAAATGAGAGACTCCCCCCTGGGCACACAGAGGACTGGGCGACTTGGAAGGTGCTGAACAGACTGTGCTCTGGCACCACGAGATGCAGAGCCAACCTTCAGAAATGGGACCACAAAGTCCACGACATGCGAATGTGGAGAAGTGCAAACCACAGACCACCTATTACAATGCAGTCTGAGCCCTGCCACATGCACAATGGAAGACCTTCTTACAGAGACACTAGAGGCACTCCAAGTGACCAGTTACTGGTCAAAGGACATTTCATATAATGCCAAGTTTTTTAAACTTTGTGTTTTTAAAATACATTACAACTGTACCCTTGGTTCGCTTCTGATACGATAAATAACTATATACTGTATAAAGCTGATTTATCAGCTGGAAACAGAGGATGGATGGAGTGTCAGGTCCGCTCAGAGTAAAGTTTGAAAAAAATAACTCTTTGAGGTTACAACCCTCCAGAATCCTTGTATGCTCGGGGATTTGTCATCCAAAGGTCTAGCTTTCTGAAGCCATACTTGTAATGCTTTTTAAGTGAACTTCCACAAGATATAATTTTATAATACATGTAATCACAACCAGTAGTAATGTTTAAAAAATGAAAAACTCGTGTAATTTTCATTTCCAAATATCTACAATATGGGAAATGGAAATACAGGAGTGAAACTAGGAAGCTTTGTCTTGAAGACAGAATTACTATGGGACATTTAAACTTGTTTTTGTTGCTTTATGAATACTAGTATTTCTGAAATGTGTTTCTAAGATAGATTTATGACTGAAATGAAATTCAAATATTTGCTAGTACGGTATGAGCGTGTGTGTGTGTGTGTTTAAGGGCCATCCATCCCTAAGTTTTTATCTCATCGTATTTTGTGGAAAAAGGGGATCTGTGTGTGCCAGAAGGAGTTTTGCCCTTTAGTTTTAGCCCCACTAATTAATCAGAGGCAAATTTTAATATGTGATTAAAGCTTTAGTTGATTTATGTACCAATTAAAAAGATTAAATGATGCAGCCCTAATCATATTACCAACACAGGCCAGGGGGAGATAAATGCCCTCTCATTTCCTTTTGGTTTATTTCACAAGCAGCTTACTGATCCCAATTTAACTGTTCTAGAATAACGAATGTTAGGCTTTCAACCTTAACGATAAGAATTTTTTGCTAAACCTAATTGATTCTGTTTGCAAAAACAATTTTTCATGGTATATATCTCAAGGAGGAGGCACAATCCGCACCTCGTCTATGAACTGTTTCTACTTCACTTTCTGCACAAAATCCACTAAAGAGCTCCAAATATATATTTGTGTTTCTGTCTATGTGCATGTGTGTAATCTGACATGTGCCTCTTTCTGATTACTGTCCTCTTTTTCTTCTTACATTATAAAATCTAATTATTGTTGCTGTTTTACTAGAATTAACATTAGCAAATCCACATACTTCCCACTGACAGCAGAAAAAAACGGAGCATTGTCTCCTCCATATTTTTGAGAAGTTGTCGCTTTTCAGTTCTTTTCAAGTGCTTCTCCTTTTAATATTATTCTATAAATGCATTAGAAGCCATTTTAGTGCAAAGGAGGACAGGTGTAATTGTGAAGAATCAATACTTACTCCTTTTTAAAAAGCAGAATATGAATTGTGGGAGAGAGAAGCATGTGTTTTCTGCAGATTATTATGCATGGATTGTGTGCTAGCTGAGATAAAAAGAAGGCTGTAACACGTTCCATGCACCCACAAGAACTTGGAGCTTCTTTTCTCCTATCAACAATCACTCAAATCTTTGCAGAAATTGAAGAAAATTATGTTTTATTTCTATCACACCCTTTTTCCAAGAATCTCAAGGAAACACGGGATTTTTCACCTCACACCACCTCACCACATTCCTTTTCTTGTCATAGCCCTGTACTATAACTGCTCAGTGAGTGGCCCAAAATCATCCAATGGACTGTGGAGATGAATGAGGCTTGAAACTTAGATCACCCTTCTTCTACTCCAGGGGTCCTCAAACTTTTTAAACAGAGGGCCAAGTCACCGTCTCTCAAACGGTTGGAGGGCCGGATTATAATTTGAAAAAAACATGAATGAATTCCTATGTATACTACACATATCTTATTTGTAGTGCAAAACACACTTAAAACAATACAATAATTAAAATTAAGAACAATTTTAACAAATATAAATTTAGTATTTCAATGGGAAGTGTGGGTGTGTTTTGGCTGATGAGATAGGATTGTTGTTGTGTGCTTTCAAGTCATTTCAGACTTAAGTTGACCCTGAGCGAGGGCCGGGTAAATTATCTTGGAGGGCCGCATCCGGCCCCCGGGCCATAGTTTGAGGACCCCTGTTCTAATCCAATGCTTTAATTATTTTACTATGATGATGTTCATATTTAAATACTTTTTTTCAGTCTAGATGAGCAGCTTGGTTTTCTATATCATCATCTTGACCTAGACTAACAAGGAAATTATGCTATAACATAAAATTTTGTAAGCAACATGTAAATATCATACAGACATCCATCCACATTTGCAAGTTTTGATTTGCAGTTTTGATTATTCGCGGCTTTGATTAAAAACATTCTCTCTGGGAATTTCTAATTCTTCTAGTGTGATTCTATGGTTAACTTCCTCCAGTCATGCTGGAGGACCTAGAGAAAGCCACCTTGAGGAATCTCTGAAGATAGTATCACATTAAATCAGGCTCTATCTCCTGCAGAGTTAAGGGAAATGTAATTAAGGGCAGCACCTTTGAAATTCTCAGCTACAGAAATCTTTGGCTTCCCTAAATTACATTTCCCAGAATTCTGCAGGAGATAGCAAAGCGAGAGTGCTCAATTTAGAACGTTAATGTGACATCATTCTAGGTCTTCCAATGCAATTCCATGTTCAGCTTCCAGTGGAAGTTGACCATACAACCAAAGTAGAAGATCAAGATATCACTAAAGAGATATCTTGTTAAAAAATAATAATTCCTTTATTCACAAATTTACATGTTCATGAGGATCTTCTGCCCCTGATTCCAGTTAACGTGGAGGGCTAGCTGTACTTTTCAGTGTTAGGAAATTATTTTGCCATATCAACCACACAGTTTCCACCAAAAAAAGAGATTCATTACCTGACTAATGTCGCTTGTCCATGCTGCTTTTTCCTGCCTCGAAGGAGCTAACAAGACGACTGTAAAAGGAGGTGCATCTGCTGGCTCTACCACAATCTTGAAGTCAAGGTGTCCAAATACTTGTCCAGAATTTTTTGCTTCATAATTGAGGAGGAGAATAAATCAGTTGCAGATTGACAGTTGGAGATAAAGGAACATCAACCAGAAAAAAACCCTATTTTTGTCCTCGTATGCACACACTATGACCAGACTCTAAATTAGCACTGGGTAAGTAAGCTCAGGGTCCATATTCTGTCCATGACACACTATGAGGACTACATGGGCTGCCAAAACCACTTCCCCAAAGAAATATGGAAGCTGAATTATGGTTTGGACAGGCTGCTTTTTATGTTAAATATGGCAAGGATCCCTACAACCTATTTAAAAAAACAAATAACATGATCTTATGACTCCCCAAAAGGAGACAGTCTTCTATCCCATTTTCTGTACAGAAGAAGGGCAATTCAAGAGATCTGGAGGGTTGTAGGTCTGCAAAAATGTTTGTACTTTGTCCTTTGCTCATCTCAGAAGTTGTTTACAGCTTTTCTCACCCCAGCAAGGGAGAATGAGCTTGAATGAGCTTTCACTAGATACTTTTATTTCTAAACTTGTAATCAATTGTTGCCCCAGGACACAAGCAGTTATCCTCCCACCCTCTTCTCAATTACACGTAACATCAGGTTGAGAATCAAATATCAGTATTATGTAAAACAAAATGAAACACAGCATACTGTGGGGAAAAAATGAACTGTTGACTTTCAAATACTAGAAGACATGGTCACAATCAGATCAACATACTGATCAGTGTATTGAGGCATACTTAAAACAGGATCAGAAAAGCAGAAGATGGGTGACCAGTATCAATACTTCTTTACTTAACGTAATGTTAACATGAAGCTGCGTTGGTGCAATGGGTTAAACCCTTGTGCCAACTGAACTGCTGACCTGAAGGTTGGTGGTTCGAATCCGTAAGATGGAGTGAGCTCCTCTCTGTCAGCCCCAGCTTCCCATGCGGGGACGTAAGAGAAGCATCCTACAGGATGGTAACACATGCGGACATCCCCTGGGCAACATCTCTGCAGATGGCCAATTCCCTCACACCAGAAGCAACTTGCAGTTTTTCAAGTCGCTTCTGACATGATAAAAAATGTTAATATGTTTGCTGTCTAAAATGATAAGAAAAATTAAATTCAGCTAAAGATTTTGAAGAAAATACTTACTGCGTGGCAAGAAAAACTCTTCCCATTGGGCCTATTCTACAGAGGATGTGCCAGTGGCAGCAAACACAGATTGAGAATAGTCAGGTTTACTCCTCTCTATTCTTCCTCACGTAGGAAATACAGAGAAGGAGAAATAGAAAAATATATTTGGGGGGGGGGGGGAGATATCTTCTAGAATGCTCAACCCATCTTTGCTAGAAAATTCTGAGTTTTACAGCCCCAAAAAGGAACATTTCCAAGATCTGAGGAGAAAGAGTCAAGCTCTCTGCTCTTAGACAAAACCTGGATGTGACAAATGAGTGTCATTCACTACTCCATCCATTTCCTCGCAAAAGAAAAAGAGACGATTAAGCCAGTCTATAGCTGTAATGCTGGATGGAGATAAGGCATTGTTTCCTGATATATTCTGGCCCATGGACAGTTTGTAATGGGAAGGGAGTTATATAACCCTCCACCATTCATAGGATTGCCCACTCCTTTTCTGGGCAATTTATGCAAGAACAGTGATTCTACACCAAATTCTACAATTTTCCATGATTTATATGAATACATGCAACATTGAAAAAACAAACAAATATTAATTTTTAAAATAATATATGTAAACATTAGATTACATTAAACAGTTTGATATAACTTACAGTCCTCATCATTCATATCAGTTTCCTCAATTAGTGTGCATTCTATTAGCGAAAGGACACCTCCTGCCTAGGGAAACAAATTATACTTTTTTCAGAAATCTATTTTTCTCCTTCTCCCCACGTAATAGTATGCAAAACTATGCATTTTAATATTGCATGAACTCATAGAAAGGATTATTCCAAAACTTAAGATGTGCTTCCAAGAATAAAGAGGATTATTAATGCCGGCGAATTAAAAATATGTTATACTGCATGCAAATTAAAATTGCGCTGCAATGTATTATCCCAATACAAATGAAATAAATTTTATTAACAGGATTAATACCAGGCCAGCAACTGGAGAAAAATCAGATAGAATAAAGAGTATATCCAAAGCTAAGAGTAAAATAGTTCAGTGCATTGAGAACTGTAGCCACTGCACCTTTTATAGTAGCGGTTCTCAACCTTCCTAATGCCGTGACAGCTTAATACAGTTTCTCACGTTGTGGTGGCGCCCAAACATATTATTTTCATTGCTACTTCATAACTGTAATTTTGCTACTGTTACGAATCATAATATAAATATCTGATATGCAGGATGTATTTTATTTCACTGGATGAAATTTAGCACAAATACCCAATATGCCCACATTTGAATACTGGTGGGATTGGGGAGGATTTATTTTGTCAATTGGGAGTTTCTGGGATTTATAGTTCACCGACAATCAAAGAGCATTCTGAATCCCATCAATGATAGAATTGGGCCAAACTTCCCACACAGAAAACCAATGACCAACAGAAAATACTTTGTTTTCTCATGGTCTTTGGCGATCCCTCTGACACCCCGTCGCAACCCCCCCCCTCAGGGGTCCTGACCCCCAGGTTGAGAAACGCTGTTCTAGAGTGAGGGAGCAAAAGAGGATCCCACAACAGGAGGTGTTAAGTAGCATTGGAAGCATGACAAAAGCAAAGCAGAAACAAATCCCTTAAATGCAAGAGAACAGTGAAAGAGAAGGAGGATGGAAGATTCTGGCAAGCGCAAGTATCCAGTTCCAATGGGAGGGGAGAGAGGGGTGCCCTTTTTTTCCCTCCCACATAAAAGGAAGAATTGCAACCCACCCTGTCCTGCTTCGCTTGTCTTCCCATCTGTAACAATGGGAGTTTCTAACACCAGGAAGTAAGGGTAGGTGTCAATGGGCTGAGAAAGGCCCACATCTTCTTTCACATTCCCTTGAAAAGTGGGAAAGGAGGAAGGAGCCACTGCATTCATCAGCCACATTCACCAGACAATGCACAGCCTTATTGCCCAGCACTTTGTAAGCCACTCTCAGAGGGTTGGACTGGAACTTCAAGAGAGTTGAATTCAACCACTGGGGTCTCCCATACCTTTATTCTCCTTTTTGTAATAAAAAAGATACCACTCTGGCAGAAAGGTAATGGCACTCCATGTGATTATGCTGGCCACACGACCTTGGAGGCGTCTATGGACAACACCAGCTCTTTGGCTTAGAAATGGAGACGAGCACCACCCCCCAGAGTTGGGCATGACTAGACTTAGTGTCAGGGGAAAACCTTTACCTTTACCTTATAATATTTCGCTAAGGAGAATTCGATTTTTACCACAATTAATTCAGAAAACTTAACACCCTCTTTAGAGCTAGCAAATTTGCATAATCTGTTTCAAAAAATATCCTTGTATATTGCTCCAATGTCTCAGTTTACTGCTTAATTTAACAAGAAAACTTCCTGTTAAAATTCTACTACTGTACAATATATTGGAAAACATGAAAACCATGTTGCATGTTATTCATTTCATAATACTAGTTGTAAGTGTGAAAAGGCTGTACCTTAAGTAGATGCAGCTTTCCTCCAGAACTTCTTGTACAAATTAAAAAGTGTTTTGTAAATAAAAAACATTGTCTTTCTCCTTCTTTTTTCAAAGACAATGATCCCAGACGAACTTTACTAAGTTTCCCTCTCTCAACAGAAGGGACTTGAATGAGAGTACCTGATGGTTACAAAAGCAAACAGCACATTGTAAATACAAGGTTAGATGGCGGTTCTTCACATTTAGCATGTTATTATATAGTCAGATTCATGTACAGACATACCTCATTTAATAAAGCCTTTGACAAAGAAGCTTCCTTTTACAAGGTATTTTCATACCTGCCCAGCCCCTCTCCATTCTTGTTTAGCTAGACATTCTAGTGGCACAGGAAACTAGGAGGGGCGGCGAGGGAGGGCTAGAGAAACACACACTTTGAGTATCAGGTTATGGTAGCGTGTCTGCATGTAATAAAGTTTGAGCTGGGAAAGATAGGATTCTACTCTAGCCAATCCTACTATAACTGTGTATGCCAGCCTACAACAGGCAAGGCAAATTACAGCTGCCTTCACAATCCCTTGCTGTGCATGAACAAACAGCAAAACAGAGAGGGGGTGGGGGAAGCATATAAGCTTGCTCCATAAGCTACTCCAAACATTTTTAAAGCATAGCTCTGTATGCTTGGTCATGAAAATGAAAATCATAAAAAAGAATAATCCTTGGATATATTTTGGAATTATTATTATTATTATTATTATTATTATTATTATTATACTATATTTATACCCTGCCCTTCTCACCCCAATGAGGGACTCAGGGCGGCTTGCAGACTATGGCATACAATGCCGCATTATACATATAATAAACATGACATATCAATTTAAACAGTAAGCATATCAATTTAAACACACAGTAATAAACATGACATCTCAATTTAACAATTCAAATATAAATACAATTTTAAAAGTTCAAAAGTAAACATTCAATGCCAATCAAAGTGGGCTGATGACATATCAATTAAATGATGACATATCAATTAAACAATCAATTAAACAATTCAAATATAAATGTATTACATTTTTAACAAAACAAACAAACAGACAGACAGACAAAACACAAAGTTTGCAAGCTTGGTAGTTGATTAAATGTCCTTTGACCAGTATCTGGCCACTTGGATTGCAATAAAAAAGCTTAAAAGCAAACATTCAATTCCAACTGAAGAAATATCTTCAAGTAGTCTCTCGAAAGTTTTAATGTTTTTCTTTACTTGTAGAAAAATTACATGTCTGGTTGTTTCATTTCGCACATGTGTATTTTTAATTTTGGATTTTAAAAATGGTGAAATATTTTCAGCTGCTCTTCTGTTTTGTAGGGTGGGAGCCGGTCCATATTTCTCCCATGTTATTTCTGCCACCAAAATTACTGTTAATGAAGTGACATCGAGGAACACATCTGCTTTGTTAGTTGCGAAAGCCTTCCAAGCATGGCAGAGAGACATCAACTGTGTTGCTAAGAAAAAGATCTATGCCAGTGCAAAAGCTGAGGTCCAAAGAAGGACAAGAGAACTCAAGAACATCTGGTGGACAAAGAAGGCCGAAGAAATCCAACACCTGGCAGATACCCATAATGCTCAGGGATTTTTCAAAGCCACAAAGGTCATCTACGGACCAAGAAACCATGGCATACAGCCTCTACGCTCATCAGATGGAACCAAACTCCTGAAGGACCAAAACTCAATTGCACTACGTTGGAAAGAACACTACCAAAGCCTCCTGAACCGCAGCTCCAATGTGGCCGAAGAGGTCCTCTCACAAATCCCACAACAACAAACCAGGGATGAGCTTGCAGCACTGCCTAGTTTGGAAGAAGTCAGCAATGCCATCAGCCAACAGAAGAATAACAAAGCCAGTGGACCAGATGGGATCCCTGCTGAAATCTTTAAAGAGGGAGGACCTGAGCTGACACACCAACTCCACCAGCTCATAGAAAAAGTGTGGGTGACCGAGAAAATCCCAGCAGATTTCAAGGACGCCACCATCATCACCCTCTTCAAAAAAGGGGAAAGAACAGACTGCGGAAACTATCGAGGTATCTCCCTTCTAACCTCCGCTGGGAAAATCCTCGCAAGAATCCTTGCAAACCGCCTTCTGCCCCTCTCAGAAGACACCCTCCCAGAATCCCAGAACGGCTTCCGCCCCTCCAGAGGAACCGTGGACATGATCTTCACTGCACGACAGCTCCAAGAAAAATGCAGGGAACAAAACTAACCTCTGTACATGGCATTCATCGACCTTGCAAAGGCATTCGACACAGTGAATCGCAGCGCTCTCTGGAACATCCTCCACAAAATCGGGTGCCCTAACAAATTTGTGAACATCCTGCGGCTCCTCCATGATGACATGATGGCAACAGTCTTGGACAGCAGTGGCTCCCAAAGTGACCCATTTAAGGTGGAATCAGGTGTCAAACAGGGATGTGTTATTGCCCCAACTTTATTCTCCATCTTCATCACTATGATACTTCACCTTGTTGATGGGAAGCTTCCCACCGGAGTGGAAATAATCTATCGGACAGATGGCAAGCTATTCAACCTCAGCAGACTGAAAGCCAAAACCAAGGTTACAACAACATCTGTTATACATCTGTAACAACATTAGTAATTCCAAACCGGTCTCCTGATATGGTAAACTGGTGTAACCAGGATGGCGGTCCCTCTGGATTGAAGGTGGTGCTGTTGACGCCAGATCTGTCAATGGAAAAACAACTTTCATCCAAGACTTAATCCTGGATGAGCGGGCAGATCTGGCGTGCATCACGGAGACCTGGTTGGACGAAGCGGGAGGCGTGAATTTGACCCAGCTTTGCCCACCAGGTTTTTCCGTGCAGCACCAGCCGAGATCCGGAGGGCGGGGAGGCGGGGTCGCAGTGGTCTATAGAGATTCCATCCCTCTGACCAGGGGCCCCATCCCGCAGTCAACAAATTTTGAATGTGTCCACTTGAGGTTGGGTGACCGGGACAGAATAGGGATTCTGTTAGTGTACCGCCCACCTCGCTGCACTACAGTCTCCTTACCTGAGCTAGCAGGGGTGGTCTCAGGCCTGGCATTGGAATCCCAGCGGCTCCTTGTGCTGGGGGACTTCAATGTCCATGCCGAGGCGGCCCTTTCAGGAGCGGCTCAGGACTTCATGTCTGCCTTAAAACCACTTGACCATGGAAACAAGTATCTGGCCCCACTCATAGTGCAGGACATACATTGGACTTGGTTTTCTGCCAGGGATGGGAGGAAGGTGGTGGGGTCGAGGAGCTGACCATCTCTCCGTTGCCATGGACCGACCACTTCCTGGTCAGATTTAGGCTCACTGCGCCCCCTAACCTCTGCAGAGGTGGAGGACCCATTAAGTTGGTCCGCCCCAGGAGGCTTATGGATCCGGATGGATTCCTGATGGCTCTTGGGGAGTTTCCCGCCGCCTCGGTAGGTGATCCTGTCGAGGCCCTGGTCACTCTCTGGAATGGGGAGATGACTAGGGCAATTGACACGATCGCTCCGGAACGTCCCCTCTCAAGTAGCCGAGCTAAACCAGCTCCCTGGTTCACCGAGGAGCTGGCAGCGATGAAGCGAAGGAAGAGGGAACTAGAGAGTGTGTGGCGTTCAGATCCGAGTGAGCCAAATCAAACACGGTTTGTGTCCTTTTTAAGGGCATATGCCGCGGCAATAAAAGCCGCAAAGAAGGCCTTCTTTGCGGCCACTATTGCGTCTGCAAAGAACCGTCCGGCTGAGCTGTTCCGAATTGTCAGAGGCCTTTTAAATCCCACCACTCAAGGTGGGAACCCTGACAATTCGACTTCTCGCTGTGAAGCTTTTGCTCAGTTCTTTGCAGACAAAGTCGCTTTGATCCGTTCTGGTCTGGATACCATGTTAATGGCAGTCTCTGAGGATGTAACACGAGCACCTGCTTGTCCAGTTTTGATGGATTCATTTCAATTGGTGAAACCCGAGGATGTGGACAAGATACTTGGAGGAATGAGGCCAACCACATGCATCCTGGACCCCTGCCCATCCTGGCTTCTAAAGGAGGCCAGAGGGGGATTGGCTGAGTGGGTGAAGGTGGTGGTTAATGCCTCCCTTCGGGAAGGCATAATTCCAGCCAGAAAGAAACCATCACTGGACCCCACTAAATTCGACAACTTCCGGCCTGTTTCCAATCTCCCCTTTTTGGGCAAAGTCATGGAAAGCGTGGTGGCCTCACAACTCCAGGTATTCTTGAGAGACACGGATATTCTGGATCCGGCACAGTCTGGCTTCAGACCGGGACATGGTACCGAGACGGTCTTGGTCGCCTTAGTGGATGATCTGCGCCGGGAGCTCGACAGGGGGAGTGTGTCCCTGTTGGTGCTGCTGGACCTCTCAGCGGCCTTCGATACCGTCGACCACGGTATCCTTCTGGGACGCCTCGCAGGGATGGGTCTTGGAGGTACTGTTTTGCAGTGGCTCCGGTCATTCCTGGAGGGTCGATCTCAGAAGGTGTTGTTGGGGGACACCTGTTCAACCCCACAACCATTGTCTTGTGGGGTTCCTCAGGGCTCAATATTGTCTCCCATGTTGTTTAACATCTACATGAAGCCGCTGGGGGAGATCATCCGGAGTTTCGGGGTACGGTGTCATCTGTACGCAGATGATGTCCAATTCTGTCACTCCTTTCCACCTGCTACTAAGGAGGCTGTCCAGGTCCTGAACCGGTGCTTGGCCGCTGTGACGGTCTGGATGGGGGCGAACAAATTGAAATTGAATCCAGAAAAGACAGAGGTACTCCTGGTCAGTCGCAAGGCCGAACAGGGCATAGGGTTACAGCCTGTGTTGGATGGGGCCGCACTCCCCCTGAAGATGCAGGTTCGCAGCTTGGGTGTGACCCTGCTGCGAACTGAGCCTGGAACCCCAGGTTTCGGCGGTGACCAGGGGAGCATTTGCACAGCTAAAGCTTGTGCACCAGCTGCGCCCGTACCTTGGGAAGTCTGACTTGGCCACGGTAGTCCACGCTCTGGTTACATCCCGTTTAGACTACTGCAACGCTCTCTACGTGGGGTTGCCTTTGAAGACAGCTCGGAAGCTCCAACTAGTCCAACGCTCGGCAGCCATGATTTTAACAGGAGCGGAGCGCAGGGAGCATACAACCCCCCTGTTGCG